CATGCAGAACAAGGGGCGCCTGGGTACTCAGTTGGTTGAACAGCTGCCTTCAGCTCAGGTCATGATCCCAGGGTCCTGGGATTGAGTCCCACATTGGGCTCCTTGCTCAGCAGGGAGCCTGCTTCTCCCTCTGCCTCTGCCTGTCACTCTGTCTACCTGTGTTCACTCTCTCTGACAATAAATAAATAAAATCTTAAAAAAAAATGCAGAACAAGTATTTCTGATGACAGATAACCTGCTGGATTGAAATATGCTGCAAATGTAAAATACACACCAGATTTCAGACTTAGTCCAAAAAAAGTAAAACATTCTGTTAGTATTTTTTTAATTGATTACATGTAAAGTAATTTTTTTTTATATATGGAGTAAAATAACATATACTGTTACAATTCATTTCACCTTTCTCTTTATGTTTGTAAACGTGGCAGTAGAATATTTGAGATCACATACTGGGCTGGCATCAGTGGGACGGGCAGCTCTGGACCATGAATTTTCCCACTCTGGTCCACAATTTTTCTCATTTATTACGGACCACGCAGGTGTTCCTGAACCCCGCTTTTCTGCTGTGATTTTCTAACCCCTGGGCAGTTTTCTGTCTCCTTTCTAGCAGATCACATTATTTACTTCCACTAGAAACTCCCACGGAGGAGTTTTGAGACTCTGACGGATAAGACCCCCGTGACTTTACAAGAATGATCCTGCAATTCCAGACGCCGCCGCCAGAGAGAGCCGTGTCGCTGCCGAGGTTGCCGAGCAACTCGTGGCCGCCGAGCAACTCGTGGCCCGGAAGCAGTTCTCCGCCCCGCCCCCGCGGCAACCGCGCGCAGGACAACTTCCGGCGGGGCAGGCGCGGGGGTCTCCTAAGCCGGCTTCCGCGGCGGCGGCGCAATGACTACGCTCCGGGCCTTCACGTGCGATGACCTGTTCCGCTTCAACAACATGTGAGTGAGGCGCCCGGGGCTGGCGTGGGTGGCCGCGTCCCCTGTTCCGGGCCGGGCCCGCAGACCTACCCCGCGCGGGCCGCCCCCGGCGCGTCCCTGGGAGCCGCCAGGTCGGAGCCGGAGCTGGGGCCGGGGCGGACGTGCGGACCTCCCTGCTGACCTTGGCCGAGGCGCTGCAGCTTCCTCCCGCGTCCTTGCGTGCTCGTCGGAGTCCGGGCGGCGCGCGGGCGGCCTGTCGCGGTGGCTGTCCCGAAGCGCCGGGGCGGGCGGGAGGGGGTGGGGAAGCGGCCGGAAGGCAGCGGTGGACTGCCGCCTGCGGCCAGTGTCAGGGCAGGTCCGGAGGTCGTTGCGAGGTCCACAGCCAAGTGTTTGGTGAGTCCAGCGGCCGATGGTTCATTTGTATCGGAGTGAGACCTTGTGAGTGTGGCACCGGCCGCCGTTTCTTTCTTGGCCCCGGTGCGTTTTCTGTTTCGTTGCTGAAGCGGCGCATTCAGCCTGGACAACTTCTTTCAGGTGTGAGTAGTCGGGGCGGGCACATCCTGATGGAGGCCCACTGTGTGTGCTTTAAGTCCGAGTTAAGGCAGGATTGTGACTTCCAGGGACTTAAACAAGCATTTTATTACATAAGTTTCTGAACGTTTAAAAAGTCGACAGAATTTTACGCTGAACACTCAGAGACATTTCGGCTGGATTCTACAGTTGACATTTTGGTATGTTGACTTCCTCACATATCTGTCCATCCTTCCATCCATCCATCTATCCACCCGCCCACTCCAAAATCCACTTTAAAGACAGCTGGGCAGTGTGTGAAAATTGAGGATCAAGTGGTTCGGATTCAGGTGTTAGGAGGATGGGAAGCACTTGAGAGGAGGTGGCTAGAAACCTTGCAGAGAGGGGATGAGCCTTGAAGGGTGGATAAAATGGTGACAGTGATGAGGAAGTTCTGGAGAAGGAAGCAGGTGTGAAGGTGAGAAAGCTTGCGGCCAGACACGTGGGAGGCAAGCGTGACTGGAGTGGTGGGTTTCTCTAACTGCACCATCAGATCAGCTGGTGAAACTGGACTTTCGCTTTGTCGTTGGAGGTTTCAGTCTTGATTGTTGGGAAGAATTTTCTAATGGGCCTCTTTCAATCAGAGCAGTGTAACTAAAGTGGCTTGTGTTGAGCTCCCCCTGTGCTTGCTGGGCTCTGGCACTGTAATAATCCATTTACTCCTCACAGTTCTCTGAAGCAGGTGCTCTCATTATCCCCATTTTTTGTATGAGTAAAACTAAGGTACTGAGAGCGCCAGAGAATTGCCCCAGGTGCTAGAGCCCTGTGGTGGGTGTGGGTGAAGCAAGGAATCTAATCTAAAAATATTGGCCCTGGAACAGTGGTTCTTTAAAGAGTGGTCCCAGACCATCAGGGAGTACTTTGGAAATGCATATTCTGTTTAAGACTGTTTTAAGGACCAGTGCTCTGGGGCTGGAGCACTTCACCACAGAGTTATGTGGAAGGTGAGGAAATTGGAGGAGGTATACTAGGCAGATAAGCCATTTAGGACATCTTGGCAACAGGCCAGAAATGATGACAAAGGTTTGGGTTTGGGAGTTGCAAGCCCAGGAAGGGACAGTGTGCCTGGAAGCTTTAAGAGTAGTTGGCAAAACCTATATATGTATGTGTTTGTGTGTGTATTTTAAGAGGGCATGTGCACACATTCAGCCACCTTGGGGCTGTGGAGAGAGAGGAAGAGAGGGAATCTTGAACAAGCTCCACAGTCAGCTCAGAGCCCAACAAGGGCCTCCATGTCACAACCCAGAGATCATGCACGACCTGAGCCGAAATCAAGAGTTGGACACTTAACCGAGTGAGCCATCCAGGCTCCTGCAAAGCCTTGTTTTAACTGAAAGGGAGGTGAGGAGTTGAGTCCTGTGGATATTGGGAGCAGGAGAACTTGGAGGCAGAGAGAGTAGTAAAGGCACAGGTACCTGTTTCTGACGGGGTGGGGGGCAGCTGATGTGTATAGAGCAGCGTGAGAGAGTGGGAACAGGGCTGGATCTTAGAGATGACCTCCTACAAGTTGGGCTTCTCCACTAAGTGCTTTGAGATTCCCAGGTGCAGAAATCAGGTAAGTGTCTGGACTAATGATAGCAATTTGGGGGGCCCACACTATGTAGATGGTATTAAAACCAGGATGCTAGGTGACATCAGTGGTGGAGTGAGTGTGGATAGGAAAAAAGAGGCTCCAGGTGTTGTAGGAGACCTAGTGGCTCTCTGAATTGGGAGGAGAAGCTGATGGTGGGTCTTGGAAGCTCTGTGAGGAGAGCATTTCAGGTGGAGGGAGTGGGGAGCCATGTCAGGAGCTGCTGATGGCCCAATGTATAGCATGTCTGTACTTTTATCCCAGGAGGGGAGACTTTCGGGAATGGGGGTCTGGGCAGTGAAAGGGGGCGGATCTGCCCACCAGCACTCCAGGCATGGTTACAGGAGAGCGAGTAGAGGGGGCTGCAGACGCTGTAGGTGTGTGGGTGCCATGGTGGGACCTTGGTGAAGGCTTCTTCCTATTGTGTATTTTCTGTTGTGAAATAGGAAGCAGCTGATACTGAAAAGGAGGTGGCCTGTTGTGGATAGTTGAGGCAAGGCTATAAAGCAGTCGTTGAGAAGTGTGGGAGACACTATTCCCACACTGGAACAGTGATTCTCCAGGTGTGGCTGACGCTCTTCCCTTTTTGCAAGGTCAGAGTGATTTTCAGGAAAGCACCAAGATGGGTTTGTTTTTTTTTTTTGCCTTTTTCATTCTCCCACAAGTGCACAGTGGAGTTTTCAGCTGTGTGGCTTGCAATACCAAGCGTGACAGACACAGATGTGAGAATCCAGCTGCCCTTTTTTTTTTTTTTTTTAAAGATTTTACTTATTTATTTGACCGAGACATCACAGAGAGAGATCACAAGTAGGCGGAAAGGGGGAAGCAGGCTCTCTGCTCAGCCTGTGGGGCTCAATCCCAGGACCCGGAGACCATGACCAAAGCTGAAGGCAGAGGCTTACCCCCATTGAGCCACCCAGGCGCCCCCAAGCTGTCTTAAGCCAGACATTAACAAAGATTTGTAAATTGTTAAAGCCTTTTTTGTCGCTAAATTGTGTTCCTGAAAGTAGTCACTTTTGGTTTTAAAAAAAAAAGTTATTAACATGTAATTGATTTATTTTAAAATGTTTTAGAAAATGTAATTATCAGTAGATATAACCCACTTAAACAAGTTTTTTGGGGGTCCTCAATAATTTTGAGTGTAAACAGTTTCTGAAACCAAAAGTTCGAGAACTGCTGGCCTGGAGAAGTACCTTGGTAAGTGTCCCAAGGAAGAATCTGGCTAGGTATACAAGAGGAAGTTATGGGTGGCTGGTTTTGAGCCTGGCAAAATAGTGGTTCCATTAATTGAATAGGAAAGTGAGGGCAGAGCTCTTTGCACCCAGCTGCAGAGGTGCGTTTTAAGAACTGTTGACTCAGGAGTGTTGTGATCAGGTGGGACAGGTGCTGGGTAGCACCAGAGCCAGATCTGGGAGTCTTCCTCCAAAAGTTAAGGGATGGGATGGTGGGGAAGAGGAGGTAAGAATGTAGAAGAGTGGGATGGAAACACCAAGTGGTGAGAAGGCCCATACTGAGCAGCTGAAGGCCCAGAGACAGGCAGGAGGGACTGCTGTGAGATGCTGCAGGGAGCTAGTTCTACTTTCTGTGACTTTCATGCCTGGTTGGGCCCCAGTTCCATTGATGATTTACTGGCATTTAGAAAAATGGAAGGTTTTGATGCAGATGTATTAACTATCAAGTAACTTGTAAGGAAGAAACTGTTAAATAAAAATTTATAGATATTGTTATAGTGGCTGTGATGGCTTAGTTTGGCCTTCAGTAGCTTCCTTGGCCCTAAAGTTGGTTTTAAAGTTGTGGATTTAGCATGTTTTGTTTTTCTGGTGCATGTTTTTAGTTTCAGTGGCTTATTTAAACTGGTTTTGTCAACACTGCTTACTACTGACATTTCTTTTCTTTCTTTTAGTAACTTGGATCCACTTACAGAAACTGTATCCTTTAAAAAAAAAAAAAGTTAAATGAAGGCTAAGAGTAAGGAACATGGAGAAACAAAAGAAAAAAATGACTTGAGTACCGAAAAACCTTAAAACTTGCAGGCCAGGAAACATAAGCAACATTGAAAGCAATTTAAAAAACCAAACAAACTGGGACTAAGAGTTGTCTTAAATCTGCCTGGCAAGCTGCTAGCAAAATGACCTCATAACTAAAGCAATGCAGCTCCCCTTGGTGGTAAGTATGGCTCCATACAACTGAAAGCAATGACTTCAGGATGGGTTATTACTCTCTGTGAATGAAGCCTGGTGGTGACGAGCAGTCTGTGGTGGTTTCCTGAAGTCATTGGCGACCAGGCTGTGCACTTTAACCACCATCTCACTCCCAGGGTGGCCTTGGCTTTCTCGGGCATCACGTCCATGTTCCTGGCAGGAGGGTCAACAGAGGGGAAGGTGAGAGTGACCTTCCCTTTCAGGAGTACCTTTAGGAAGTACCATACAGGCTTCTGTATCCCACTGACCAGGAGCTGCCTCCTGCCACACTCACTGAGCTATAACAGTCCAGGAATGAGCCCAGCTTCCCATTTGGGCTTATTACTAAGAAAGGATTTGGGGGTAATAATTAGCCATATCTGTGATGTCCCCAATGAAAGTGTGCAAATATGTTTGAAGTTGGGGTGCTTTGGGTTATGTTGCACTAAGAGACAACCCCACATTCTCAGTGGCTTTCTAGCTTCTACTCCATGTCCACTGCAGAGTAGGAGGGTAATATTAACTGATAATTTAACAAAAGAAGGCAAAGAAGCTAATGACATATATTAAGGGTTCAGTCTCACCAGTCAAAAGATATGTGGATTAAAACCAAAATGATATTCTGTGCTTTACCTATCACATTATCAGGGATTAAAAAATGATTAGACTCATGCTGATGAGGGTAAGAGGAACGTTCTCATAAATTGCTAGTGACAGTATGAACCGTGAAAGTCTTTCTGGAAGGCACTTTGGCAGTGTAATACATACTAAGTAATTCCACGTCCCGGAAGCTAAAAATAACAGGTGAGGAATTGGCAAATTAAGGTGCTGGGCCAAATTTGGTCCACTGCCTATTTTTATTTTTGTAAATACAGTTTACAAAACTGTATTGTGTCTGATAAGACACAACCATGCTGAAAAATTTACATATTGTCTGTAGCTTTGTCCATGGCTTTCACAGAGGAGTTGCATCAGAGAGCATATGGTCCACCCAGCCTTGAGTATTTACTGTCCTGTTATAGGAAATGTTAACTCCTGAGTTATGATATTACCGACATTTTTATTACAGTTAGGATATTAAAAATTTGGAATAGCATTCACAAACAAGGAAATGGTTAGAAAAAATATACTGTATTCATGAGGAATTTAAAAAGATTTTCAAGACACTGAAAATAACCCATATGTCCCTTGTCAGCAGTAGGTGATTTCAATTGATCACCCAATGGAGTATACATTATTAAAAATTAACTATAGGTATAGATAACACGGCTACAAATCAGAAACAAAGCTGAGTGAAAAAGCAGAAAAATCACCGAAGTTTTCATTTTGTATCTCAAAAAATTAAGACTTTTTAGAGACCTCCATGTTAAAAAGATTTTTGAATAACAAAAAATTTTTACTGTAAATAAGGTGAAGTATTAGGATGCAAATCAACTTACATGGTGTGTGTCTAGTGACACTTCATATTACAGTAAAAGTCCCATAATCCAGGTGAGGCCATGTGTGCAAGTAACCTGCCAGGTATTGGTGGTTGCTGAGCCGATAGCCGGCCTCCTGACGCTGGTTGAGAGGCGGTAATGGCGTGTGTTGGTGGCTGACCAGCAAGAAGACTGGCTAGCGTGCTGTGTTATGGGTTATGTTTGAAGAGTGCTCGAAGTAGTGGCTGTCATTCAGAGGAGAATCTGAAGAATTTATGACTGAGCAGATTTTACAGAAATTAAAAAAAAAGAGTTGTGTGATTGGTGGTGGCCCCTCACAGAATTGTATCAGCGAGCTTACACTAAGAAGAAATAGAATGAACATATGTCAGTAAGGATGCCAGGGCTGAAGAGTGTCATAATGAGCAAATTATTCAGGCTTCTACTCTTAAGTCAGCATTTATTTGTAGTAACCAGAAAGGGAGAATTTGAATCAGTACAGGGGAAACACTAGGCAATTGATGACTCTGGAAATACTTAACTTTTAGTTATTTTCACAGCCACACAGCTGAAGTAGGAACTAATCATTAATTTTCTAGTGCAATTATGGAAAAACAAAGTATTCAGCATCTACTTTGTGCTCAGCACCAGGGATAGAGTATCCAAAAGGGAGGGAGAGAGTGAACAATATCCAGTGCTGGTAAGTGCTGTGCAGAGATTTAGAGAAAATGTGATCAGTATGGACACAGATGATAGAACTTCAGACTCCTGGTTCTTTGCTGTCAGATGGTGTTGTCTCCACTCCTATTTTTGAACTTACATATTCAGGCAATTTTGTTATCAATTATTAGTGCTAACCTAAATAATGTACTGACATGAATATACAGATCACACATATATTGAGCTGGGGATAAAGTAACAATATATTTTCAAAGGAACCTTTCTTCACAATGTTTCTTTTAGGAAGAACTTTGTACTGTCCATCACTTTCCACACTCCTTAACGAGACTCTAGTATGGGATTCCTTTTTACTTACAGTACCTCGCCCACTGGCCAGAGTACTTCATTGTTGCGGAGGCACCTGGTGGAGAGTTAATGGGTTATAGTAAGTATAATACCACTAGAACTTTTTTGAGTAGGCAGTTGAGATTTTAATGTAGGTTTCAACTCATTGTTTTAGATTGATTGCAGAAGTGGAAATGTAATCATGCTGCCTAGAATTTTATTTCCTTTAACCACTGACAGCTCACCCATGCTTTCCTTATTTTAGGCATTGTACTCTAGGCCCCAGGGGACACAGACAGACAAGGTCTCAGGCTTCATGGATCTTTCATTCTGTGCTTATACTTCTGCATGGTTTTTTTTGTACATAACACAGGAATTATGGCATCTTCATTGAATTAGTGGCATTACTAACAAAAATTTGAGCTGTGGACTCAAGTTTTGTGTACACATACATACCTACATGAAATGTAGATATTTTAAAAAATAGATATTCTGATTGTGTTCAAAATTAGTTGTTTTTAGTGTATCATTCCTTTAAAAAAAAAAAAAAACCTTTCTCTAAGTGAGTCAAATAAGAGCACTAATAACCATTAGCTAGATGACTGTGTGTTACTTAAAAATTAAAACTTCGTCATTAGTGTCCTTTATAATAAAAATGTACCAACAGTCATTCTGTATTCATGTATAAATCCATGTGTTTAATTACTGAGTGCAATCTTTTATTGGCAGTCATGGGTAAAGCAGAAGGCTCAGTAGCTAGGGAAGAATGGCACGGGCACGTCACTGCTCTCTCTGTCGCCCCAGAATTTCGACGCCTTGGTTTGGCTGCTAAACTTATGGAGTTATTAGAGGAGATTTCAGAAAGGTGAGATCCTGCTTTTCAAGTAATAATTTATGAACCCTATTTGGTTTTTTTCATGGTGAAAATTTCTAAGTTTTTTTTCTGTTCAGGCTGAATATTGTGCTTCAGTTTGCAGGATTTTCATTTTCATCAGTAGTTGTGTATTCACATATTCAGAGTAGTAGCATTGTCCCTATTTTGCCATTGAGGAAAATTCAGGCAAAGTAAGTGACCTGCCATGGGCTGATATGCTGGGTAATAGATGCAATCCAAGACTAGCCCTTAAGTTTGTTTTTTTTGTTGTTGTTTTGTTTTGGTTTTTTGTTTTTTTTGTTTTGTTTTGTTTTTTTGGTGTTCTTGACACTGTTGCAGATGTTCCCAAATTCTCTGTCAACATCACCCTTCACATCTCAGTGATTTTTTTTCATAGTGCTCTTATGGCCAATAAAAAAAAAAGAAATCCCTCAGTTTAGACTTAACCAGTTATGTCCCAACTGCTTCGTAAATACTTACGGCCTAACAAACTAGTAGCTGTTCGGAAAAAATAAATTGAGAGAAAAAAATATTATTTCATTGTTAAATAACTGCGGCTACCTACTAATGAAATGTGTGCCTTTTGGGCATTTCAGGACTTCTTAATCTTGGAAACAGATTTGACACAACCACCTGCATTCTTATTTCATACTGATTTTCTTGTCGTACTGGTTTTTTTTTTTAGTCACAGGAACTGCCAAAACCTGGCTTCATAAAACCTTTGATGACCTTTGTCATTAGAAGAAGCTTAACACCATGTAATGCTGCATCTGTGACTATATAAACTAGTAGTTTGCCAATGTCTGACATGTAAGGTTTATCTGTGTTTCCCCCAAACATCTAAAATATCCTATTGCACCTCTAAGAGTTTGAGCCACTCTGGAGCACTCTGGAGCAGTTTGGGTACACACTAAAAACACAACTGCCAGCATTAGGGCTTTTTTAAAAAAGACCTATTGTGTATATCAAACACCCTCATTATGTGAGATAAAAGTAATATAATTAAAAGACTCCTGCCAGCTCCCATTCTAAAAGAGGTAAGAGATGTGTGTTTAAGTTTAATCAGTTGTCAAGCTGCCACTTACTTTTTTTCCTCTACTTTTAAATGCCTATAAGTATATAGGAAAGGGAATATTTGCTGAGAAGGGCTCTTGAGGTTTTACACTTAATGGATTTTAAAACACAAGTTTTAAAGAAGTAGCTAGCCAAGCTGAAAATGCTCTGGGCCAAGTTGGGGTTAAAAGGAACTTGAGCTTATTCAGGAAAGAGAGAAAATAATATTAACTGAAAAAGAAATCAGTTCTAGTACTTGAAAAGTTTTAGTTTATACATATTTGTTAATGGCATTTGTTATCTTTTTGAAAAAAAGTATTTGGCATTATTATATAGTGGACAGGGAGTTAAGAAATAGGTTCTAATGAGCTATCACCCTACACATGATTTTATGTACTTATGGGACAGAGTCTCAGAATAGAAAACAACTAAGCTCCTGTCTTTTCCATTTTCTAAATCTTTGTTATTTTGGAACAGTTGCTAAGATTTGTGTGTGTGTGTGTGTTTGTGTATACCTACACACATACATACATGTATTTTTAATTATATACATTAAAAACAAGAGAGAAAAAGGAAATTAAAGTGGTAAAACACATAAGAAGCCTGAAATGAGATGTTAGCTATGAATCCAAATATAATCAGTAAGTACAGCACTAAATGTTAATGGGCTAATTACTCCAGTTAAAAGACAAAGACCTGAAGACATTATGGTAAACTGAAGCGAGCCACAGAAAGACAAATGATGTGTGATTCCACTTATATGAGATATCCACAACCGGTAAATTTGGAGAATCAAAGAGTGGAATGGTGGTAGCCAGAGACCACGGAAGAAGGGAGTGGAAGTTACTAATCAGCAGGCATAAAGTTCAGTTAGAATGAATAACTCCTAGAGTCTGCTGTACAATTTACCTGTAGTAAAAGAATAACATACATTTAAAATTTATTAAAAGGGAAAGACCTCACATTAAAGTGTTCTTACAATAGTAAAAGACCGTCAGAACTGTATTTATAGGAAATATATGTAAAGATTAAAGATTGAAAGAAATTTTAAAATTATCATGCAAATTCTAACCAAAAGACAGTTGGTATACTTATTAACGAGAGTCACATAATAGTTCAATAATTTTTCAGAGTAAAAAAAAGGGTCACTGCTCATATCTGAAAAGATTTAATGCATCAGGAAGATGTAATAATTACAAGTTTTATGTACACAGTGACAAATTCAAAGTAAAAATGCAAAAATTGATAAAAGTACAAGGAGAAATAAGTAAACTTTATCATAATGAGAGATTTGAACATCCTTTTTCTAACTGATAGAACAATTAGACAAATTGATTAAGGGCACAGAATAGGGGTGATTACCTTTCCCAGGCCAGATACTTGGGCTTTACAGGCCAGCTAATCTAGTGCTTTTGTGTGCGTATATTAAACATCCCTTCTAAGTTTTAAAAACTGTCCTTAGTGGGAGAGCAGTACAAAAATAGGTTGCAGGCAGGACCCCCTTCCTCAACAGATCACTATCAGTAGCTAAAAATCTTTCCAGAAAGCTACGACTTCTCTGGCAAAATTTTACCAACTATTTTAAGAAGTGTAAAGATTGTAAGTTCACTTTTACACAAACTAAAACAGTTTTCAACCATTTTTTTTAAGACTAGAGTAATACATAAGAAAGCCCAACAAGAAATATGAGGAATGGAAATTTAAAGAAAATATGTCAGTCTTTATAGATGCAAAAGTCCCAGAAAAATCTTAGCAAAATGGGACTCAGCAGTTAATAAAAAGGATGATATATCAGGGGAAAGAAGGTTGTTTTAACATGAGAAAACCTGTAAATGTATTCCAACCTATTAATAAATTAAGGGAGAACAATTGTTAGTAAGTGCAGAAAATGCTTTGTTAACCGTTTTTAATCAATAGGATTTTATCAATGTAGGAAATAGAAGGGGAGAACTTCCTTAACCTAAAAAAATATTTACCAAAAATCTGAAGTAAATATTAGCAGTGATGCAGTGAATGCTTTTCCTTTGAAGAAAGGGCTGAGACAAGGAAGAATGCCTACAGTCAGCCCATCTTCAGTAATTTACTGGAAATCGTAGACAGCATAGTACAGCAAGAAAAATAAAAGATACAAAGATTGAGAAGAAACAAAGCTCTTATTTTGTATACACAAGACTGTACAAACAAAACCACAAGAAGCTACAAACAAATGTTTAGAATAAAAGCTAAGCAGAGTTGTTGGACAATCAGTATAAAAACCAATTTCATTTCTACACAAAAAGTAAAATTTAAGAAAAGATGCCAGTTACAGTGGCATCAGAATAAATTAAGCCCTTTGAGAAAAATCTAACAAGAGCTATGCAAGACTTCTCTGAAGTTTCTAACACTTTCCCGAGAAACAAAAGATGACCTCTCTCAGTGGAGAGAGAACTATGTCAGTGGCAGGGAGGGCTAAACTGGTGTTTGATCCATGGAGCCAAACTGTAACTGCAACCCACATCTCCAGTGTTTTTTTGTGAGACTTGTTCAATTGACTCTGAAGCTTACAGGGGAATGGAAGGAGACAAGATCATTTGAACAAGGTAGGAAGGTTTGCCCCTCCAAATATCAAGCTGTAATGAGTGAGCTCTGTGTCAGTGCTGGAGTACTTGTCTAGACCAGAGGAACAGAGCTGAGGAACAGATGCAGGGACACGCGAATCCTGACATAACTCAGAGGAAGCAACTGCAGAGCAGCAGTGGAGTGACAGTCCGCAGTAAGGACGGTGGCACGACTGGATAACCACATGGGAAAAACATTTCCCAGATTACTGCCTTACCATACACAAATCAATTCCAGATTTATTAAAAACCTACATGTGGAAAAATGAAACTCAAAAGCCCTTTTAAGTAATAGAGGAGAGCGTATCCATGACCTCAGGGTAGAAAAGAGCTTCTTAAATAAGCCATAAAAATCCTGATTGTAAAGGAGAGGCTCATATGCAACTTCACTGAAGTGAAGTAACTCTGTTCATCAAAAGTTACATGAGGATAATAACAAGTCAAGCCACAAACTGGGAAAAGATTGGCAACAATCCTTTACACCATGTCAACTACCCAGAATACATAGAGGACCACAGCTGGAGGGGAAAAATTGTGAAAGACCAATAAGGACTGAAAAATGAGAAATCCAAATGACCTACAAAAATGTATTGAGCCCCATTAATAATGAGAAATGCCAATTAAAATTACCCTGAGATACTTAGGACATTTTCAAAAATAAAAATGCACCAAGCCTTGTCACTATGGGAATGGAGTCTCACCCTCCGCTGGAAAGTGGGTACTACCTAAAAAAGGTAAGATGCCCCTATGAGCCAGTGATCACACTCTTAGTTGTAGACCTTAGATACTGTACCATGAGACATACGATAAAAATATTCGTAGCCGCACAGTTTATAATCCTAACCCGAAATGTGTATCTGTGGGACTATGGACAACTTGTAGTGTATTCACCCATACAAGGGAGCGCTAAAAAGAGGGAAAAGGAACAAAATCCAGCTACAGCAGGCTGACTCGCACTTTACTGAGAGGGGCAAATCACCAAAGGATATGCAAAGTACAATAATATTTATGTAAAATTCATCAATAGGAAACCTTGTACCAGGTGGTGAATCTATGGCAAAACCCGAGGAGCTAATGAGAGTGGGTTGGAACTTGGAGACCTCTGGGTGAGGGGGATGGCTGTCACTGCCCAGAGAGACCTGATGGCTTTAGGGATGCCATTGTAGGCAGTTCATGTCCAGTCGTTACGTGTGGGCCATGGCAGGGTGCCTGTTACTGCTCAAATCTTTAGTTTGCACATACGGGTGAAAATAATTTTATTACTAGTTGATAATGAGCATGTCATTTACTGTTATGTAAAATATACAGTAATTAAAGACAGAATTATGGTTTTAAAAAATGTTCTAGAAGTTTATCTTTTAAAGAAAATAACAGGTTTTTAAATGTTAGTATGCTAACAGAAAATATCTCTTTGTACCTCAAAATAATTGTCATAAATCCTCAGAAATAAAAATGGATACAAGGTAATCAGCTGCAAAGTCCTATTATTTCCATTCTTTAAATATTAGTCAAAGCCAACTAAAAACAAGTGTTGTTTTAAAACATGTAAATATTTTCTAGAATTCCCCATATTTTAACATTTCCCCCTTTTTTTTCTGATTTAAAGAAAGGGTGGATTTTTCGTCGATCTCTTTGTAAGAGTGTCTAACCAAGTTGCAGTCAACATGTATAAGCAACTGGGCTACAGCGTGTACAGGACGGTCATAGAGTACTACTCAGCCAGCAACGGGGAGCCTGATGAGGATGCCTATGGTGAGCTCCCTTCTGTGGCAGTATCCCCCCCCAAAAAGCCAAAACATTTACATTCATTCTATACACTAGTCATTTTAATAAGTTGAACCATATTTGTTGGATTTAAGTTTTTAAATTTGAGCTATAATTAAATCTCCTTTAACCTGCCTTCATGAACCCACCACTGGTTAACTTATATTAACCAGTGGTTAATTGTCAGTTTAATTATGTTACATACACGCATGTTAATTTTACTAAGATTTTGTCAAAAGAACACTGGTACACAGAGCTCAGTACTTGTGTCTAGGAGTCTCACTTAAACACATTTTCTGAGGACCTAGTAAATGGAAGGGGTAGGGGAAAAACCTCTTATGGGAACTTTACATATACACTTCCACATAAGATATTTTGGTATTTGGGTACTTACATTAAATTTTGCTTCCTAACAGATATGAGGAAAGCACTTTCCAGAGACACTGAGAAGAAATCCATCATACCATTACCTCATCCTGTGAGGCCTGAAGACATTGAATAACCATGGGCAGTGGTTCTTAGGCTGGTGCTCCAGATATTTTATGGACAATATTATTTTCATTGGATGATCTTGGAGCTCTATTAGGAGAAAAGTAATCATTTAGGTCTTACAGACTTAAAGAAAATACAGGTTATAAACTTTAGTCTCATTGTTTCCAATTAGCAATATCATACCTACTAAAGCTGTTCACTGTAATAAAATTCAATCAAAAAGGCAGCTAGGTCAGACGGAAACATTCCACTATTTGGGGTCATAATATTCACTATATGCTAGGGAAAAAATGTGCTCCAGTCTCCTCCTAAATTCCGTGCCTGAGAACCACTGCTGCATATATATTTTTTATTTTGTATCGAACTGTTAATTGAAGCTTTAAAAGCATATATGAAATGTATAAATCTAAGATGTATAATAAAATGCACTGTAGACTCTATGACTGTGTTCTAGAAGCTTGATACTTGTTTTCATACTGTTAATCCCAGGTCTTTTCCTTGTCTAATCGCACACCACTTTGCTTAAATCCTGCCTTTGAAAATATAAAAAAGACACTGAGGTTTCTTTAAAGGGGAAAAAGAACCTAATTCCAAAAGAAAGGCCATAAAACTAGGTCATGGGCCACCCATGTAGTTTCATGTATAGTTTTCTTTACTTGTAAAAATACCCAGTGAGTAAAAGTGGCTAAAGAAAACCCCACAGAAACAATTACTGAAAAGCTTTTGCCTGTGAAAGGACTTACCTCTGGTGGAGTTGAGGGTAAGAGATAGCTTTCATGTTCTCCCATGAGAGGGTAAACTTTTCCTTCACGCATTGCATGCTGGAACTAGCCAGAACATGGTGGTAGGAGTTTACATTAGGAATCTGACCATTAATTTTTCTTTTTTTTTTTAATTATTTAATTATTTAATTATTTATTTAATTTTTTAAATTTATTTTCAGCGTAACAGTATTCATTGTTTTTGCACCGCACCCAGTGCTCCATGCAATCCGTGCCCTCTCCAATACCCACCACCTGGTTCCCCCAACCTCCCACCCCCTGCCCCTTCAAAACCCTCAGATGGTTTTTCAGAGTCCATAGTCTCTCATGGTTCACCTCCCCTTCCAATTTCCCCCATCTTCCCTTGTCCTCCATGCTATTTGTTATGCTCCACAAATAAGTGAAACCATAGGATAACTGACTCTCTGCTTGACTTGTTTCTGTTCTTATGCAGCATAAACGGGACAAAATTGTAGGAAGACCCTGAATAGTCACTTATATTAGCATTTTGTCCTGCTTTCATCTCACTCCTTGACTCTGCACTTAGCCAAAGGGTATTAAAATCAGAAATACTCCTCTTGGCCAACCAGACAGACCTCAGTCCTCCATCGTCAGGACCCATGTGACACCCAGCAGCTGGGGTGACACTGGTCTGGAGCCTGAAGCACCAAGCTGAACACAGGTGTGCTTTTGATCCTGGCTGTCCTAGCTGCCTCTCAAAACTAGCTTACTTTTCAGACACAATTTAGTACTATACTGACTAGCTGTTTAAAATCCCTTTTAGGGGCGCCTGGGTGGCTCAGTGGGTTAAAGCCTCGGCCTTCAGCTCAGGTCATGATCCCAGGGTCCTGGGATCGAGCCCCGCATCGGGCTCTCTGCTCAGCAGGGAGCCTGCTTTCTCCTCTCTCTCCGCCTGCCTCTCTGCCTACTTGTGATCTCTGTCTGTCAAATAAATAAATAAAATCTTTAAAAAAAAATAAATAAAATCCCTTTTACTATTTTATTGCTTTTTAAATTCCTTAATATATTTGTAAATTTAGTAAGTTTTATGCAATTAAGTCTGGAAGTACTAAATTTGCTAGTTGCCCTTCCAGGTGAAAAAATACTCTTGAAGATGATAGTTCAAGTCAAATAGCTTGGGCAGTGAACAAAACAAAAAAAAGCTTGAGAAATCAGGCAAGTATTTTTTGCTTGAGGATATGAGCAATGTGTCAACAAATGTGTTATCTCTGTGCTACTTAAAGTTTTTTTTTGGCATTATAGTTGGTTACCTTTAGGTTTTTCACATGTTCTAAACCAAGTGTAAAATGTATTCTGGATTACGGTAGCTACTTTCTGCTGTAGCTAGGGGATGTTTATCGGTACTCCAGGTAGAGAGGACGCCCTTGTCCAGTAAGGTTGGGAAACACTCGAGCATTGCTACGGGGGTCATCTTGTACAGTAATGTATCTAAGGTTCTCAGAAGCTGACTGTAAAGAGATTTGATTAACAAGGCTCAACTCTTAATCTGGGGTTTCCCAAACTTACTGCAGCAGGGGGCAATGTTATTCACAGCACATGTTTTACTATTCTTTAAGCTATTATAGAGTTCAACCACTTGGGGAAACTGATCACAGCATGACTGAAATTTGACTAAAACATCTTGGTAACAAAAACACCTTGTTCAGAAATACAGTAACTATAAACTATTTTCCAACTAGTGTTTTCAAAAGCATATGGCTACTATATTTAGAAGTTAAATTAATCCAAGCACATTCAATTCTACAAAGATTGAATTTGTTTAAGAAAGTGGCTGGGGATGAACATTTTACTGAGCAGTCACAATGTGCCAGATATATTCTGTTTCTAATGTAATCCTCAAAATGAGTTGGCAGAAGCCCGTATGAATGAAGCACTGAAAGATTAAGTTACAGATAACCAAGTGGCAGCTGGGAATGGAACTCGAGCCTGTGACTGAAGATGAGAAGTCAGAAGTTTCATGTGAGTATACTAAGTATCTTTACAAAGAAGAAAAACATGAAAAAACCACTTTAAAAGTTACTGTAGAATGTAACTTGAATACTTCTCGAAAAACACTTTCAAAAGTGGAGGTCCATCTAAAATAGTTGAAGGCATTACCTCAATTAGATTTCCTAATGCGTGATGTGGACAAAAAAAAGTTTGGACTCATAAATCCAGTGGTTAAAAAAGTTTACTTGCAACCCCCACTTCTCACTAACGCAAGAGCATTTTAAAAATAATTCAGAAAGTAGCTATCAAAGACTCCAATGGTGAAATATACAAAAACTTATGGAGTCACAAGAGTTCTGAATGATTAATTTATAAAAATAATAAAACATTTATCAATATGAACAAGAACATCAGGATTCACTCTCATCAATGTCCTTATCTGGGTCTTGCTCGGCAGCCTCCTTTTCCTGTTGCTGTTTCTTCCAAAGTTTGGCCATGGCCAGGAGCTTGAGGTTGGGTTGGTTGGCAGCATCTTCTGGAAAGATGTAATCATAGTACTCTTCCCAGCCTGCATCAGACTATAGAATAAAACAATTAAAAGATAAGCCAAAGATGGCTGAAATACACTATAGTTAAAAGTGGAGAATTTTCACTGCAAAACCCCAGAGAGTTCAAGACACATTCAATTTATGTTCATTTATAAAACTTCAAAGCCCATCACAGAAAGAAAAAAGGCCGGGCCTGCACGACTGGGGTGAACAAGTAGCTGCTGAGTAACTGGGTGATGGACATTAACAAGGGCATGGGATATACTGAGCACTGGGTGTTACATAAGACTGATGAATCACTGAGCTCTACCTCTGAAACTAACAGTATACTATATGTTAACTAACTGAATAAAGAAAAAGGAACTGTTGGGGTTGGTGTTACTGCAAGTGGAGCTCACAGAGCTAAAAACCAGGGAAAAAGAGCCTAAACATTAAAGCACAGGTCCTCTCTAGCCAACCAAGATATTCTCCACCTCCATCTTGTAGTTTTCTAAGATTTTAAATTTTTCTAAAGACTTACTTAATACTTAGTAGCAAAAGTCATAAATCTGTACACTATTATTCTGACTCCCTGCCCTTAATAGCCCCACCTCAAACTGGTCACTGATTTGGCTTCCTAAACACTACTCTAATTCCAGCTTCCACCATCATTTGCTCTGCTTACAACAGCTTCCTGACAGGTTCTCCTCTGATCTAAGCCCCTTGAGTATGCCTGCAGATGCCAACCACCGGGTCTTGTCATTTTGTGTGTAAGAGCCTCCCTATAGCTTACAAAGTCTCTAGCTTGGGTCCTACCTAAAAGCTGAGTTTCATTTCCCTCTATTCTGATCTCCTGCTTAATGCTCCAGAAATACCACACTTTATATAGCTCCTGGAATCAACCTTTGCCAATCGTCTCCCATCTCCACCCCTGGGTGGACTATACACCCTGCTCTCTTTCCATGGTAGCCAGGCTGTCCGCTCCGATGCTCAGATTGTACATATGGCACTTACAAGTAGAAAGTGCTCATCTGACATGAGATGACCAGCTCCAGGGTCTCAGTTCTTACCCCATCATCAGCCTGGACCTTTCTTCTCTTCTTGACTTTCTCTGGCATGAGTTTGTCTACTCTCTCCTTATCTGATACTGTTCCAAATTCATCTTCAAAGCTTCGCCATGATTCCAGCAACATAAGTCTCTCTTCCTTTTCTTCACAGTTCCTCATGGTTTTGTTAGCCTCTTCATAAATTTGTCTGCATTTAGCCAAACTTCCTTCTTTCCCTGAAGACAGCTCAAACTGTGCAAAGCTGATCCAAACCTTAAGAAAAATTATTATAGAAGCAAATCAGCCATGGCATCCAGAAAATGATCATGTAATAATGCTAATTTCTAGTTAAGGACATCTGAACATACTAATGTGTTCATCTGTAGTATTACAAAGAACGTAATGATTATGTTTCAATAATGTTGAATTATTGAATTATAGTCTGTCTCTATATCCAATTAGGTGTTTGAAATGGTCTTAAAATCCTGAAAAGAGTTTAACTTTTTATGCAATCCTGTGATATTTAAGTTACTCCTATGCAGTATAAATACTGACCTGGTATAAGCTTTATATTCCAAAGTCCTCTGAGACTCATGGGCTCTTTTCTAAAAGCAGGAAAAGCATTGAAAAACACACACACACACACACACACACACACACACACACACCCCGAAACACTTAAAATACAGAAATATGGTATTTCCTTCAGGACTGCTCATTTAGGCAGAATTAAAGATCATCAACAGAGTGCAGGGTACCTTGACATGTTGTGTTCGCTGAAGCAATCTTCGGTAAAGATTTCGTGTTCTCTCAGTTTCTTCCTGTTCAATTTCAAAATCGATATACGATTTCCAAAGCACCTAAGAAAGAGAACTTAATAAGTCAGGCTTGACATTTAAAGAGCAACATGTCCCTATCCAAAGCTGAGCTTAACTACCATTCTAACCTAGGACATCCAGGAACCTAGGACTTCTATGAACAATTAAAGAACAGACAAAATCTGGAGACAGTAAACACACTGGCATTTACAAGCTGGCCAAAACTTGGCTACCATTCTACACTATGAGATCAAAGTCTCTGGATTCATCTTTGGATTTTCTTTCAGAGTTTTTCAATGTTGGACTTACAAGAAAAGCTCAGAGACTTGCCAAATCTC